ACAACTTGGCTTGTCATGAATATTATTATAAGTTTTTTTTTTCAATTTATAAATTATTGGAGAGTTTAAAACCAAAAAAGGTACAGAAAATAAGTGTAGACAAAGAGAAATAATAATTGCCACATCAATTACAATCTATCTTATGCTAAATTTCAATTATAAAACTTCAAAGAGATTTCGATACATATTACAATTAATTTTTTTTAACTAGCTTTCATTTCGTTCCGAAAGAATGGGGATTTTTCTTTTTGGGTCATAAGAAAAACTGGGGAATTGAGCAAGTCGAATTTATAATGAAAAATATCACCTTTATCGTTCACAAGATAAATATCTTTGTCTTAATGAACGGCAGAAGAAACAAAAAACAAAAATTCGACTTGCTCGAAATTCCCCAGTTTTTTATGACCCAAAATTTTTTTTTCCATTTTTTCAGAAGGAAATGAAAGCTAATTAAAAAAATTAATTGTAATATATATTGAAATCTCTTTGAAGTTTATAATTGAATTTATAATAAGATAAATTGTAATTGATGTAGCAATTATTATTTCTGTTTGTCTACGCTTATTTTCTGTATCTTTTTCGTTTTTGAACTCTCCAAAAATTTGAAAATGGAAAAACCTTTTAATAATATACATGACAAGCTAAGTTCTAATTTTCTTAACGGGTCGGTATTTCGCGTAAAACAATTATGATAATTGCAATATTTGATTGTATGAATAAAAGTTTTGTATATAAAAGACAGTCTAAATAAATAACGACTTGTTTTTGGTTTTTTTTTCCTTTCAACTTTTTTTAATCCGATGTGGCGTCACGTGAATAAAATCGACTAACATCTCGTTAGGATGGCTTGATTATACCGATTTCAAAATATTTAGAATTCGATCGGACATTAAGACAAAATGTTATGCTATATTCAGTAGAGGAGAAAACTTCTTTTAGAAATGACGTTTTTATTGGACGAAGAGAAAATAAATATATGAATTATGAGGGACCGTGAGTGATAATACAATTGATTTTGTATAATCCTTTAAATCCTTCAAATATCTATATATATTCGAGTCCTTACTATGTTATCCTTTTGCGTTCCTTTTTATCGCTGCATCTAAAAACACCATAACACAATTTCATCACATCCATAGACCCTCGATCAAATTGAGGATGATCTTTATAATTATTCAGAATTTTATCTTTTTCAATGTTATGTGTATTGTTTTTTCCGTGAAATATTGATGTTGCGAGATCGCAATGGGCATTTGTAATTGCATTGTAAGAGTGATTCTCCTATTACCAAAAGCAGATATATTAAGAATGACTTTGAGAAATTGGTATACTAACTAATGCAGTGCGACCCACTTGTCTAAATGCTCATATAAACTCTTCCACGTTATTCAATACATCAATTTTACAGAACATCATGCACGAGCTGAAACAACACCCACCACCGCTAGGGAACATTTTAAACAACATCCAACCCCCGAACTTCCACCGCCGGCGGCCAAGTTGTCTAGCGAAGTCAAGAATCGATCACGGATGTAGTCCGCCAAGAGAGTCGAAAGTGTAGGCCAAGAAGGTTCGGAACACTCGAAAACCGTCAATCTCGCCGTCACTCGAAACTTTAGAATCACAACCACAACATGGCTGGATGTGGTTCTAAAGTTTCGAGCGACTGCGACATTGGCAGTTTTCAAGAGCTTCAAACCTTGTTGGCCTGCACTTTATGATCTCTTGACAGACGGCGTCCGTGATCGATTCTTGACTTGGCCCGACAAATCGCGACCGTTTAACTATCGTAACCCCCGCATGGAAACTCGGAACTTTGTGATCACTAACCCGACACGATCCTCCTCCAAGAACCTCTCCGGCTTGAACTCGTCTGGGTCAGGCCGGACCGCCTCGCCACGGGTCATGCCCCACATGTTCACTGTGGCTCGGCAGGTGCATCGTTAGGGTTTCCTTGACAATGGACCGGAGGTACAGGAGTTTCAGGAGGTCAGGTCGGCGGCCGGCCGGGCGGGGGCCGAGGGCAGTGTCGATCTCGGACACTGTGTCGGCGCCTCTGAAGATCATTTCCTGATCACAACATGACCAGAAAAAGATTTTCAACCTTTATTTCGCTTTCATAAAACATGGGACAACCGAACGAGAAGGAAGAAATGCACCATATGAGATCACCCGACAGGAAATAACATACAAAACAAAGGAACATGCAGCGACAGAAGGAATGAAATATGCAACATCCGTAGATGCTCGAAGCCAAAAGAAAAACTTTAACATTGTAACGTGGTTTTCCTCGTAGAAATACGAAGCAAAGCAGATCCAACCGACCCAGCAGAGGGAAGTGATCGCCCCAGTTGAACAGGCCAAGCGGCTCGTACCCTTCATTGACAAGACCCTCGAGCCCGAGCCCGTCACTTCTGTGGCGGCCATCGCGAGTGCCGAAGTCGTAGGATCTCCCCCAACATGCCCATCATCACATTGTTGAGCGAACATAAGGGCAACACCTTCCTCGCCCGAACCTCGCCACGCTCCTCCATTAGAGACTTGATTTCGCCCATCCTTTGAAGCCCTGTCTGCGCTCGGGACCTCTCGAAGGCGGCGATCTTCCCGGGGCTGAACAGGTGGGTGGCTGAGACCCTCCACAGGTTTGGGCTAGCAGCCGCCTCACGGGGCGAACCCCATCGCCACGTTGAACAGGGCTCGTACGCCGACTCCTTCGCAAAGATGAAGGACGGTCTGGAGGAGGTGGGAAGAGAGTGAAGAGGTCGTCAGTCGTCACATGACATGGCAATGGAGGTTTTCTGAGGGAGACGACGCAAAGATGGTGGGAAGAGGAAGAGGATATGGGGAGAGAGGTGGTTGGGCGGGGACAGAACATCTTCATCTTCATCACCCACTTTCTTCGTCGCCTGGCAGCCGTAGACCAGTGCAGCGGGTCAGACATTTTTCATGATTACTCGCAAGAGAGATGAACAGTACACATCAGAGAAAATCAGCTCGTTACAGTCCTAGGAGCTAGGACCTGCGTTTTCTTCCCAACTTTCAATCATACTAAAATAACACTCCCTGAGTAAGTTGAATAAATATGAAAAATGACACGACTTATTGATAATCGAATGCTTAAACTAGTCTATTAACTTAAACCATTTATCCGTTTGTCTCATCATCTAGTAAATTTCATTCGATAGCCGAGCTCTTTTTTCATCTCGAGCATTATTTTTCCTTTCTTACCCACTTTCAAAAACTAGCTATTGATCGTCGAAATGTTAGCTGCCCCAAAAAGGCAATGCAGCTTGAGTCGTTTAGAGACTTGCTCCTGACGTGAATCGAATTCGTAATTTTGTTAAAATTAGGTAATCCGTTTACCATTAGACCAATCACCTTTTGTGGTAAAGTGACAGAGAATAACATTTTGGTCATGTGCAAATCGAACTGAAAAACCATGAGGAAGACTACGTGTGGAGTTAAACAAGTTAAAGCGTTTTTCCACGTGACTTGAATATTAAATTTCAATGGGTCTTACACTTACACTCTCCTTAAAGGAATAAGGAATAACTTAAACATTTGCGTACCACATTATCAGAGTTACTTACGCATGCTTCATGCCTCAAGTTTATTTTGTGTTTGCGGCTCTTTGTCCTTCAATTTAGCAACGTGCATGGATGTTTGATTCTTATTTACCACTTGAATACATGACTTCAATGAGCCTCCTATACTTGTAATCTCGCTACGCTTAGGTGTTTGGGCTTTTGGTTAGACATTTTAACAAAAATTTATTGAATAAATACAACCATAATTAGATGGGTAGAAAAAACAAGCTTGCTGAAAATCATTTTTCTATACTTTGCTCCATATCTCTGCAAACAAATGACGATTGACATCAATATGAAGATGTTATCCAAGACTTCTGTAAAAAAATTTGACAAAAAAAGTTGCCGCGACTAACGGGTCAACACATACTATTATCTTTTGGAAAGTCTCCAAATTAAGCAAATCCAAGCCCGAGAGGCATCCGATTTCTGGCCAAACTTGATCATGAACTAGGTTATCTAAGTTGGACTGTCATTGAAAATGAAAAACAGCTATATCTAAAGTGCAAAATATGCACTTGCATAACCAATGAGTTGAGCCGAGAACCCGATAACAGAGGGAAAGTTCCTTGACTAGTCAACTTTAGAGCCCTTTTGTAGATGCAATTCATCAACTATTATTATCCATGTTAGATCATCAATTCATCGAATTGAGTTCAAGAATAGAATTTACTTGCCTACGTTTTAAATTTAACAATGGCTCTGGTCCTACCATAGTGACCTTACTCCTCAAGCTTCACAACTAGTTAATATACTAAAAGGAACCGGGATTAACCAACTAAAAATTTACCATGCTGGCTCAGTCTGAAAATAAAGATGAGGGGCACGTCCAGTTTAAATGGTCAAATTCAAGGCACTAAAAAAGATCAGTTCTCTCAAACACCAAAAGACAAAAAGTTAAAAGTGGCTGTCACACTACAAAATTGTCACATTAAGCCAAGAACTGTCATTAAGGACTTGCCAAATAGTTCAGTTCCTGAACTTTATGGATCAGAAACCAGTAAAACAAAGGAAGCAGATATTCATATAGAAAGAGCAATCACCATCCTCCCCGAATGGCCTAAGTTGGTTTACCCTTAGAAGACTCTACAAGAACCCTAAAGAAGGAAACCATTAATGCAGTAAACAAGTGATGCTGAACCCTCCTCCTTCAATTAATGCCCACAACCTTTATAAATGAATGTCCAAACGATTAATGCAGTAAACAAGTGATGCAGTAAACCATTGATGCAGATATTCGATTTCGGTATGTCCAAACGACCTTTATATCGAAAAACAGTAAATGAATGTTTAACAGTATCATTGCTTCATTTATTGTTTAACAGTAAAAAAACAGTATATTCACAGGAGAACACTCGCTGTACAGTACAGTTTAACCAAGGAAAAAGACACGCGTTCATATTCACAGTATATTCAGAGTAAGACACCCATATCTTCAAGTCCCACAAAGTCGTTGGGATTATATCCATATTCTCCTAGATCGGAGAGGGCGGGCTCCACTCCTGAGTTTCCACCGCCAACGGCCGAGTCCTCCGGCGAACTCCAGAAACCATGGCTGTCCACGATGCAGTCCTCCAAGTTTCCACCGCCAACGGCCGAGTCCTCCGGCGAACTCCAGAAACCATGGCGGTCCACGATGCAGTCCTCCGACCGATTAGGGGTCGACCCCGCTCCTAAACTTCCACCTCCAGCGACATTAGACCCGCAGCCCTCGAGATCGGAGACCGCGGGGGTGGACCCCACAGCTGAACTTCCACCGCCGGCAGCCGGGTTCTCCGGCGAAGTCAGGAAACCTTCGTCTTCCGTCAAGAGAGCCGCGAGCGCTGGGCCTTGACCTTCGAGACTCTCGAATAAAGAATCGATCTCCTGTTCGCTCAATTTGTGTGAATCCTCCAACGCCTTCAGCTTCTCGCGCGCACAGTCGCGGACCGCTTCGTATTTCAGAATCAGGGACGCGAGGTCCTCCTCGGTGGCGCAAGCGTCCCACTCCGTTTGGACCCATTCCGCCCACTGGGTCAGACCCATCGGCGGCATCACCCCGCCGCCGCCGCCGCCGCCTAGGTGGTAGTCGGATATAATTTCGTCGGCCGATGGGTCGCCGAAAGAGCAAGGTTTGCCGGCGGGGGAGAAGACGACGACCGCTACGCGGGCGCCGCAGAGGCGGGAGAGCTCGTACGCCTTATTGAAGAGGCCCTTGCGCCTCTTGGAGTAGGTCACGAGCCGGGCAGCGGGGTCGGCGATCCTGGCTTTCTCGGTTCGCCGGCGCTTGGCCGTCGACGACGCCATCAACGACGGAGTACCGTCGAAGGGTTTGAACGAGGTTTCTGGGTTTCTTGGAGAGAGAGAGAGAGAGAGAGAGAGAGAGAGAGAATGGAGAAGAGGGTTTGCAGGGGGAGGAGGGCGAGGAGAGGGTTTTGCAAACGCGGTTTTGCATTTAAATCGAACAAGACGCGGCAAGAGGAAGCTCCGGGCCACCGGCTGTTCCGGCGGCACACGGAGGAGGGGAACAACCACCTCCTCCGTCTCCGTTCAACGGCGATGTCCATCGTGGAAGAGAGAGAGATAACGGAGGGGACGAGGTGTCTCCGTTTCTTTCTTCCGCCGTTCATCAAGACAAAGATATTTATCTTGTGAACGACAAACGTGATATTTTTCGTTATAAATTCGACTTGCTTCTGACCAAAAAAAAAACAAAATTCGACTTGCTCAATTCCCCAGTTTTTTATGACCCAAAAAAAAAAATTCCAATTTTTTCAGAAGGAAATGGAAGCTAATTGAAGTTTATAATTGAATTTACAATAAGATAAATTGTAATTGATGTGGCAATTATTATTTCTGTTTGTCTACACTTATTTTCTGTATCTTTTTTGTTTTTGAACTCTCCAAAAATTTGAAAATGGAAAAACCTTTTAATAATATACATGACAAGCTAAGTTCTAATTTTCTTAACGGGTCGGTATTTCGCGTAAAATAATTATGATAATTGCAATAGAATATTGCAAACATATACCATGATGCCAAGCACAAGATGATGCTGGAAATTGCTAGTCCTCGTAGACAAAGCACAGATGTTTCACCTCCACTGTTGATCGGCTATGACATTGGCTTGAAAATTTTGCAGCTTGAGAGTTGGGATTATTAATTACTAAATAAAGACATTGTCCCCTTGCCAAATTGAGTTATTCTCCCTGTTATTCCATTTCTTGTAGCTTTCCTGCAACTTTTGTGCCTTGATCATGCTCATCAATACAAATCTTTGCAAGAGGAATTGAACAATCTAAATGAGAAATTACCTTGTCATCATATTACATTGTTTTACAAAATTACCTTAAGACCAAAAAAAGTAAAAAAAATAAAAACATAATGTTCATTCTAGGACAGTTTTGAATAATTTAACAAATCAGTCTTTACTATGATTCTTTCACTAATCATGAAGCTTTGAATAATACAGGTTTAATGCATACGGGTCCAAGTGGGCGGCGAAGTCGAAGCCGAAGATGGGGAGGATGAAGAGAGCGACGAACCGCTTTATGCCTCACACTGCTCGCGGGTGAAGAGGCGACCCCATTTGACGGAGACATAGCCGAGGAGGAGTGCCACGGACAGTGGGAAGATGGAGCTTACCACCTCGTACGCGTCATGCCACCCCATCATCTTCCTACTCGAAAGCCCTTGGGTTGTCTCTTTTGCTTTTGTCCCAGTGGTCAGTTGATGGGTGATCTATGTGGATAATCAATATAAACATTATGGTATGATATTTTATATTTTTTGTCTTCCGGTAATTTCGTAAAAAAATGTAACATGATTGGTAAGGTAATTTCTCATTTAGATTTGGCTCAAAAAAAAATTCTCAATTAGATTGTTAATTCCTCTTGAAAAGATTTGTATTGATAGGCGGGGTCAAGGCACGAAAGCTGCACAAAATGGAATAACAAGGGGAGTAGATTTGTATAGATGATCAAGGCACAAAAGCTGCACGAAATGGAATAACAAAGGGAATAGATCAATTTGACGAGGGGACAATGTGTTGCAAGAGAGATATGGGAATATATGTGTTGTTTGATCAATTTGACAAGAAGACAGATGATTGTCAAGAACAGTCCTTCAGCCACAAGTGCTGTTTATATAGATGCTTCAGATTTGTCTTCCGACGACATGACGATGCAATTGGAAGAAGGTTAAGAAGGGTCGAAACGACAGTTGGGAAGAGGAAGATTAAAAATGCAATCAAGGATCCTAAAGAACGAGGCAGGGTAAATCACAAGTGACAATATCACAGCCTGGCAAATCCAACTAACCGTGCGACGTGTCCATTTAAGATGGGGGAATAAAGCAACTGTCAGAGCAGTAGCTTCGAGACCAAAAAAACAAAAAAAGAGAGTAATGGAGTAGCCCGATGTTTTCTCTAGCAGGTTAAAAAGGGTTAATATCACGAAAAATCCTTAAATTAATATATTTGTGATAATTTTATCTAAAATTAATTTTTTAATTATCAAAAACCTCAAATTGGTACACATATGACAATTTTATCCTCATTTTGTTTCCGTTAAATTTTACTGTCAAATTGCTTTGTTGAATGACACGTGGCAGTTGACTGATGTGCCAGTTTTATGTTTTACCCTTTGTTTGTCATAGGTATACCGGTTTGTAATTTTTTTTGTATTAATCCAATTTAACAGAAACTAACGGAGGGTAAATTTATCACAAATGTACCAATTTGGGATTTTTAGTGGTCAAAATATTAGTTTGGGGTCAAATTATTACAGATATACCAATTTGGAGTTTTTTGTGGTCAAAAAATTAGTTTGGGGTAAAATTATCACAGATGGACCAATTTGGGGTTTTTCATGGTATTAACCCTTAGAAGAATAAAAATCAAAGGGGTATACGCTGTACCGATCCATATGTTGTGCATTGATTCACAAGACCATTGCTCGATTTCTAAATTAACTCCTCGAGGTTTATGTATATTTACGTGTAAAATTTTGTAAGGCCACTACTGGTTGTTTTGACACTTGAGCTATTAACTGGATGCGAGGCTTCAATATTTAGATAATTTGAAACTCTTCATCCTGCGCAAGCTGGACTTTGATCTAGGATGAAACGGAAACGTGTTCAATTAACAATTGCTTTGCCGCAGGGGGGGGGTAACATATAGCTAAACACATTAACACTTTAGACACTATCAATTGCGGCTACAACATGAAGAATTTTTCTATGAAAGCATGTATGGCTTATGTCATGTTGAGACAAAAATCGTTCTATATTTCCATTAAGATTAGTTGGGTATTTATATACCCAAGAATACATTTTAGAAGATTTACTAGCAAGAAAAGAAATACATAAAATAGAAAACTTTCTAACTTCTAAAGATAAGATTCCAAATCTTCCAAAACTAATAGCCCTTTATTTGGTAGATATATATTTGGTTGATACACCCCCTCAAGTGGAAGAGTCGAGATTGCGAATCTTCAACTTGTCTTGTCAAAATGCAAAACATGCTTTAGGAAGAGCTTTAGTGAGAGGATCAGCTAGTTGGTCAGCTGTGGAGATAAACTGCATACTGAGTTGTCATTTGGCAACGCGATCACGAATAAAGTGGAAGTCAATTTCAACATGTTTGGTACGAGCATGGAAAACCGGATTTGCAGACAGATAAGTGGCACCAATATTATCGCACCAAAGGATGGGAGGACCTTGAAGAGGGAACCCAAGCTCTTGAAAGAGTGACTCAAGCCAAATGAATTCAACTGCAGCATCGGCAAGAGCTTTATACTCAGACTCTGTGAAAGAGCGCGCTACGGTTCGTTGTTTTCTGAAGCTCCAAGAGATCAAATTAGGACCAAGATAAATAGCATAGCCTCCAGTTGACTTGCTATCGTCAAAACTACCTGCCCAATCCGCATCGGAAAAAGCTTGCAAGCGATTATCATTGGATCGGGAAAGAAGCAAACCTAGCGACCTTGTATATTTGAGATAGCGCAATATGTGTTTCACCATTTGCCAGTGGTCTTCAGTAGGTGCATGCATGAATTGACAAGCTTTATTAACGGCAAAGAAGAGATCTGGTCTTGTCATTGTCACATATTGTAGGGCACCAACTATAGACCGATACAGAGTAGGATCGGACATCAGAGCACCCCCTTTTTCATATGGTTTTGTAGTCGTGGCCATAGGAGTTTGGACAGGCTTGCACTCATACATCCCAGCCCTGTGAAGAAGATCATCAATGTAACGTCCTTGAGAGAGAGGCAGCCCGTTAGAGTGAGGGACAGTCTCTATCCCAATGAAGAAGTGGAGCGGGCCAAGATCCTTAATGGAGAACTCTACAGATAATTTGATTGCACTGAACCAGAATATCATCAACATAGATAAAAATAAATAAATGACACTAGTGCCTCTTCAATAGATAAATAATGAGAGATCTGTTTGTGATGCTGAGAATCCCAAATAAAGCAAAAACTGTTAGAGTCGTTGAAACCGGGCTCTCGGAGCCTACTTGAGACCAAATAGAGAACGATGCAACTTGCAAACATAATCACAACGAGTTTGGTTTTGAAACCCAGCGGGTTGTTCCATGTACACCTCTTCAGAAAGAATCCCATGTAAGAAAGCGTTGTGCACATCCAGTTGTCGCACTTGCCACCCTTGAGAGACAGCTAGAGATAATATTGAGCAAACAGTGGTAATTTTCACAACTGGATTAAAGGTTTCCGTATAATCCAAGCCATGTTGCTGATGAAAACCCTTAGCGACCGAGCGAGCTTTATAGCGCTTAAGATTGTCATCTGCTTTGCGCTTAACTCTGTAAACCCACTTACACCCAACAGGGTTCATAGAGGAAGTGCGAGGGACTAAAGAACATGTGCCATTTTTTAACAATGCATTAAATTCATCAATCATAGCTGCACGCCACTCACGGATTTTGTTGGCTTGGATGAATGAGGTTGGTTCGGTGAGAAGGGTGGTGGCAGTATTAATTTGAGGAGGACGAGAGTGAAATTGCATGGTGTGGGTACGTGTTGGCCTAGGTGAGGGTGGCGGTGGTGGTGGTGGAGAGGGTGATGAGGAGGGGGAATGATAAATTTCATGGAGGGGCCTGGTTCTTAGGGCAAGGGAGATGAATGAATCGGTATTAGGTGACACTGCGGGAGCCGGTGTAGGAGTCTGTGATCTCACTATATTGGTAGGCGGAGGAACGCCAATAGGGGACGAAGCCCACGGTACCAGGATAGGTGTAAGAAGTGATGAATTAGGTGATGGACCGAGAAGGAGTTGCAAAGGGA